CTTCAAGCCTGCAGCCAATGGTTGTCGCTCGAATATCTGCTCCCAGACGTCACTCCGGACCTAGCCCGCCTCGCGGCTACACGTGCGCTCCGGCAGTCAAGACTTCGTCTTAATTATTATCCTTTCCATATGTACAGAATACACTATTTCTACTAATCCGGCCTTCTATGACTTCCCTCCCGTCTCTTAAGGAACCGGGCCCGGAAGATCGCAGCCTTTAGGGTTAAACTCCCTTAGTATTAACACATCTCGATAATATAAGACAGGCAATTGGAAAATTTTAAACATCTGTCCATTTTGAACTCGAGGGGAGGACGTTTGCTGATGTTTCAGCCCAAATGACATTTAACAATATCAGCCCTTTTTCGCTACGGCTTTCTTATGAGATCCTTACCGAACTTTGCAGGCTTACTGATATGCATTTGTCGTTCATAGTTAGGCAAGTGGATATAATGTATGATGTGGTTTTTCGATAAAGAAGTGTTCACAACAAGAGCCCTAGTGGTACGTAAAATGCGAATCAACGTGATAGTACAAGAGTGTTCAGTCCTCGCAACCATTTGCTAACACTGAAGAGGAAAGAAGCGTGTGCACAGAGTTCAGTAAAACCGAACACATTTCTCTTGTATTAAAAAAACATATAGTGTTGCTCCTGCTACTAGTTGCACTTAATACTGCATAACAAAGCGGCCTGTAACCATTTTTTCATATGCACTACATTTTGTGCACGTCTATAACGTTCAGCGGAGTTTTTAAGGGCTTCTGTCATTTACCCCAAATATCCTGACTGCTACTGACTGACTGAATACAAACAAATAACACGCTTTCAAGTTATAATTTACTAAACACGATGTCAAAGGATGTGTAGGATACGACATACGCTGGCCGGATAACAGAAGATAGGAAGTATCCCAACGGTTATAAACTAGTAAATAAGATAATGCGTGGAGGGCTTTAGTGTTATGAATAATTTGATTAAGTGCAGAAGGAGTTGAATATGAGTAATGGGTAATTGACTCCAAGAAGAGTGCAGTCCAGCCATGAGCGGGCCGAATCCAGAGTCGCATTCCGGTCGTGAGGTCGCCAGCTCCGAGAGTGTCTGAGCGTAAGCAGTCACCACACTAATGTCCTTTGTAAACTGACCTTGGGAAGTGGTTGGCCAGTTAGGACAGACAGGGGGTGAACACACGGCCGTGACCTCAAACTACCTTTGACACACTCTGATGCGCACGTGCTTAGTAACAGACATGCCCCAGAAGCATGCGAGCAAACCATAACTTAGAATACGAGGTCGCTAGGTCGCTATAGATATGCTGAGTTTAAAGAACCGAAGGGGAAGAAGCCATAAAGGGCTAAGGCGACTGCCCATAGAAATCAGGTCTGACCCGTAGAAAATATTCTTTGTCTTGATGGGCATTCATGTAAAAAAGG